TCATACGACGGTTTTATCATCGGACGAAAATTTTCATCTGATGATTGCAAGGTATATGGGCACCTTTTAAGAAGCATTGATTTAGTCACCTCTCTCCCCCTACATTGTTGGATCTCTCAGTTGGACTGCTTTTGAATATCATGATTGTCTATGATTTTCTACTATTCCTGTGTCCCTCAGTCATTGATCAAGAAAGATTTTACGATTGCAAAAATCTCATTGAGGGGCCCAGGTCCCGGTCCTCTAGTTTTTGGCCTTATGTATTGCTTGCTCAAATAACAGAAGTGTATCACCGTTGGAGGTGGGCCTATACAGGGCTGGCTGCCTTTACTGATTTGCCAGTGTCAAGACCTCATGATGATGATGATGATGGTGGTAGTAGTAGTAAAACCCGATTGTCTATGATTTTCTGTTATTTGCACAGCAGGCTCTGTTAAATACCACGAAGCGGGTCATATTCAGGATCTGCATCCCTGTCATATGGATAGGGAAAGATCAGGAAGAAAGTTTCATCTTCTATGCATTTGCAAGGCGTACAGGTAGGTTGGGCTCGTTGGTTATGACCTGTAGGTCTGCTGATAGGTTACCCCACCTTATTGGAGGCTGAAGTGATGTTACCATTTTCCTCTACCGGAAATTGTCAGGGTTATTCACTAAAGGGTGAAGAGTTTGGAGAAGGCAGGAGAAGTGAACAATCTAGGACAACATAGCTGAACTGGAAAGTGAGTTGAATGGGAGAATGTTTCCAAATCAGTTATGTTGTCCTAGATTGTTCAGTTCTCCAAACTCCTCACCCTTTTGTGAATAACACTGTGTGTTTTTCAGGGAGCCCGATGGTGGCGGATTGTTACAATATAGTGTTTAGGTAACCCTGTAGTGTGACTGGCTTAGGGATCCCCCTGTATATTGGGTGAGGAATTATTTTCTGGAGCCTCGGTATCTAACATAGCTAATCTTTACCTAAGAAAAAAAAAAACACAAATTGAACACAAAGCTTATTTTTCAATAAAGTATTTTAATGTGCAAGAATATAAATGATCTTGTTTGTTTAATGGATTAGTATACCATCCTCTGCACAATTAACTTAGTTAGCAAGGTCTTAGCTCATTTCAATTTACAAAACTACAAGAACATATTTACTGATTTACAATCATTAAATTAGCTATAATG